AATTATATTATTAACATTAATATTTTATTTTTTATTAAAAAATTAATACTTTTTTTTATGTTTACAGGCAAATTTGCCTGTGTTACAGATAAAGAAATAGAAATTAATGATACAAATATTAAGTATGCTCTTTGTTATTTTGATTTTCTTTATTTTTTTCATATCTAAATGCATAGAATCCAATATATTTACACCATTAAACAAACACTTATCTGATACATTTTTAAAATATCATTTACTATATCTCAGTTAATATTTTTTTCTCAGTTTAGAACTTTATCTTATACTGAAGCTAAAGATGTTGAATTAATTTTTCATATATTTGTATCAGATTATTCGATAAAATCCTAAAGTAAGTATTTGTAAGAAGAGGAATAGAGGATTTTTCTTCATCACTATCTATTGAATTATTTTTGTCCTACTAGTTCTGAGCTATGCAACATTTGAAAAGTAGCAAAAGTTTAAAAATTATCATTGAAATCGTAACATTTTATTATCATATGATCTATTATAATGTTTAAAACTATAATTTTGATATGAAACTACATTATAAAAAATTTTGGATATTCAAAAGCTTATTTAAATATTTTATTGTGATTAGTAAGATAATAGACCAGTCTACACAAGATTTAATAATAAAATTAAAAGAAAATTGCATATAGGGGAAACAGTAATTACACTGATTTTCTTGTTTCAGATAGTAATCTGATAAGATTTTTTAAAAACTCTCTAGCACTTTACGAGTAAATTACGTATGCTCTATATTAGATAGTAATCTAAAAGAAGGTGACTTCCTAACAAAATTGAAGCATACTCACTTTAACAGCTTTATGACCTTAGCTTTAATTTCAAGTTTAAAAGATTCTATTAAGTGTTAGTAAAATCATTAAAGTTGTTTGCGAACTTACAATTATATCAAAATTTAAGAAATGAAAGTTAAAAAAAACCAGTTAGATAATTCCTCATTGTCAAAATAGATAATAATATCTATAAGAATTTAAACACAAGTAGATTAGCCAGGTATGACTCAGGATTATGCATATTACTTAATACTTTAAATGGTTTGGTTCAATCCAGATTATAGGCCAATCCAAAACTGAATCGAAAATTTTAGTTCAGTTCAGTTCAGATTAAAAATCTTAAAAATGTCAATCTGAAATCAAATCGAACTGTAAACTAGTAAAAATCTGAACTGAACCAAAAATTTCAGATTAATCCAAAATTTCGAATCATTTGAAATGATAACTTCAATTATTTCAAATGAACGATTTTTTATTGTTCTTTTGGAATGATAATTTAATCGTTCCAATCGAACAATTTTCTTATCATTTATTTGCAACGATAATTTGATCATTCTAATTAAACAATTATTTTATCGTTCATTTGAAATAATAATTTCATCGTATCAATTAAACGATTCTATTATCATTTATTTAAAATAATATTTTGATCATTCCACTTGAATGATTTTCTTATCATTCGTTTGGAATAATAATTTCATTATTTCAATCGAACGATTCTTTTATCGTTTATTTAGAATAATAATTTCATTATTTTAATCGAATTATTCTTTTATCATTCATTTAGAATGATAATTTTATCATTCCAATTGAACGATTCTTTTATCATTTGTTTAGAATGATAATTTGATCATTCTAATTGAACGATTTTCTTATCATTCATTTGAAACGATAATTTGCTCATTCCAATTGAATGATTTTTTTATCATTCATTTGGAATGATAATTTGATCATTCCAATCAAATGATTCTTTTATTGTTCATTTAGAACAATAATTTAATCATTTTAATCGAATGATTTTCTTATCATCATTTGGAATGTTAATTTGATTGTTCTAATTGAACGATTTTTTATCATTTGTTTAGAATGATAATTTGATCATTCCAATTGAACAATTCTTTATCATTTGTTTAGAATGATAAATTTAATCGTTCCAAATGATCTGAAATTTTAGATTAATCTAAAATTTTCGGTTTAGTTCAGATTTTGTTTAGTTTGGATTAGATTTATAATCTGAAAAAATCTGAACTGAACTGAAAATTTTCAGATTGAATTTTTTGCAATCCAAAACCGAACTGAAGTTGATCTGAACTGAAAAATTTGAACCGTTTGAAGCTTTAATATTACTGATTTTTAATGTTGATCATTTCATGACATTTTTGATAGATACGTAGTAAAAGTCACTTTATTAATTTATAAAAGCCATACTGCTTAGTCAAATATGGTCAATTATATAACCTAAAAATTATGTAACATTAATTCATTTTTTTAATAAATAGTGTTAAAAATCAATCTCATAAATCTGAGTAAATTAGAGTTCACAGATTCATGCAATGCAAAATGCAAATATGCAAATAAAATTTTTTATACAGTAAAAATATATTTTATTTTAAAAAAATTTAATATTTCAATAGAAATGATCTACACCTATTATCTAATATTCTTTTTTTAATTAGAAAAACTGCATTCAACTTTAACTTCTAAAATAGGTAACCATATATAAACTAATCTAATAAATTTAGAAATTTAGCACCTTCATCTACTTCTCTTTTCTTTTTTAAATGAGTTGATAAGTTTATATGAACTTTGATAACAGAATTATATTCATGATTAATTACATAGTTACAAAAATCTACAATATAATTTCTTATTTTCTAAAAGAAAATAAATTTTAAAATGAGAATTCTTTGATAATCTTTTCTGATACTAAGGTCATTTTTATAAAAAAGATATAGAATTTTTTATTCTTAAAATGGTAAATACATATAATATTATTTGAAAAATGCAAAATTATGCAAATGTATGAATTTGTAGATTCTAGAATAAATGCATTAATCATTTTTTTATATACTATCAAAGTATCTATATTATTTATTATAATACATTATTACAAGATATTAAAAGTTTATATAAGAGTCTATATCATAATGTATTCAGAAGTTATATAAAGAAAATTTAAAATTTTTTTAAAATTTTTAAATTTTTATTGATTTAATTAAAATAAAACTTATTTTTTAGCTCTATTTTCAAATATTTTTTTATAGAATCAGAATCTTACCTTCTGATAGAATTTCAAAATTTCCTGATACTTGCAAAATTTTAATACTTCTTGATAAAATCTCAAAATTTTTTGATTTAACTTGCAAAACTTATATCATGTTAAACTAAAAGTTATTTACACACTAAAAGAATTCTTAACAAAATACAAAGAGAGATTAAAATAAGCTAATGTAAGAATAGAGAAATCTATTAATATAAGTATTTTATTTTATATTTTTTTAATAAAAAATTACTTCATATCACCAGCAGTGATTATTACCGACATCACGTGATTACATTTTATTTATTTGTTTATTTGTGTCATGTCATATGATATATTTTATTTTGACCAATTAATGTCATGTCACATGAAATTATTTTAACTATCTTTACGTCACGTCATATGATATAATATTTCTTGATTTCTTGATTGACGTAATGTTTTGCATTGTGACTCTTCGCGATTACTAATTTAATCATTTATATGTCAAAACAAGTCAAACATTCAATTTTTTATCCATGATTGCTCTTTTTCTTCTATCCATCATAATTGTTTCCTTTTGTTAAAGAAATTGATATTAGACTATATTGCAGTTTAAACTAACTTGAAGGATTTATTGAATGAATACTTTCTTTGTTTCTTAAATTTTCCTTATTTCTCAAAATATTTCTAACTTCATTTCAGTATTAAAAATCTTCTTAATATCAAATCATTATAATCAACTATTATCTTAACCTATAAATAAAGAAATACAAGTCAGAGTGCTTTTAGATATAACAAGTGAAATCAATAGGTTACCTAATAATGAAGAAAATAATACAAATGAGATTGATAATATTAATATAGCAGAAATGATCTTAAATGTCAATGATACTTATGAAGATTGGAATGTAGTCGACATTGCTATTAATATATACGTGAAGTAAAAAGGATTTGTTATTATAAAATATCATAAGAATCTTGATGTTATAGATAAAACTATTATTTACTGTCATGTATATAGCTGTTAAAAAGCTAAAACTAATAATCCAAGAAAGGTAAAGGATATTAATTTACATTGTGATAGTATTTTGACTAAAACAAACTGTCCATGGAAAGTGGGCTTTTATTTTGGTAAAAACACTAATATTATACGTCTTACCAAGTTCGATAATAACCATAATCATTGATATGATCTAGTAATAATAGATTTAGCTCCTAAAAATTCACGCCTTCCTAAAATGATTTTGGATAAGATTGAATATTATACCACTAATGATCGTTTGGATATTGAACAACAATATGACTTGATTATCAAAGAGTTTCCTGAATATCTTATTAAAAAAAGAACCTATATAATGCTATTCAAAAGTTTCAGAGTATTCAGATTCATGATGAATCTGATGCAACTATAATGTTCTCATATCTTATGAAGCTACGTGATCAAGATTCTGATTATATTGTTATACTGCATTTAGAAGGATTATTCAATGAACTTACCAGACTTTTCTGGATAATCAGCTAACAGCGTAACAAACTTTGACCAAAATTTCATGATGTTATCATATATGATAATACAGCAAAGATAATTCATTATAAAATAGTGCTTAGCTTATTTATTAGTATTGACAATAATTATAAAACAAGAGTCCTCGCTTAAGCCTTAACAAAGTATGAAATATAGGCAGATTATAGTTAGATTTTATGATGTACACTAGAAGCAACTAATAACCTTTCACCAATTATATTATTTACCGATAGTAATTCAGAAATGATAGTAGCTATTTAAGTTGTTTATTTGATAACTCACCATTTATTATGCATTTACCATATTGTCGAAAATGTGAAAAAAAAAGTCAAATCCAAATTGCATGGTAAAATGGTTAAGAATTTTATTGAAAATTTTACTATATGCGAAATAGTTATAATCTGTGTCAGTTTGAAGCAAAATACAATGAAATGCTTACAAATATGAGCAATATCAGTCTTATCTTAAAATAAAACTTTACCCTTGTTATAAATTATAGGTAAGATATTCTATTGTGAAGGTTTTTACAGCGAGAGTAGAATCAACTCAACGTATTGAATCTCTAAATGGAGTTCTTAAAAAATATATGAATTGAGGAACTCTATTAAGGGAATTAGTAGAAGTAATAGAAATGAGTTAGATAAAGAAGCACAATATTATCGAATCAGAGATTATTATGGATCAAATCTATCAACTGGTCTTCCATCGACTTATAATACTATTTTCAAAGACATCAATTCTGTTTTAAAAGATTTTTTAGCACCTATTCTATTATTACTTTAGAGAAGCCAAATGAAACAAGCATTATTATATCAAGAAATTTTGATTTCTATTAAACAAGTTAACAAATCTGATGATGAACCTAATAGTATAGTAAAACATATATATGATAGACTACAAATTAGGTTACAAGACTTTTGTTAAGCATTGATCACAAAGAAATTCAAGAAATATGGGAGGTCAATTATATTGTGGCATCTTCAAAATCAAAATTGCATTATATAGTGATCCTTAAGGATATGACATTACTTTGAATATATATGTACATTATTAATTAAGGAATGTCATATCGATATCAGTATTGAATTCTTCTTCAGTTTAACAAAGCCATTTTTTATATGGGCTTTATTCATACGTATTGATTTGAATTAGTGCCACCTGAAACAAATAATTATATTATGATTACTTGAGGAACTAAAGTTTATACCACCAATCCATTAATATACATTAATCAAATGAGGACTGCTAATATTTATACATCAGATGTTAGAAAAAATTTCAACAAAAAGCTCAAATTTAGTACTTTGATATCAGTAGCAAAGACTAGTGTTTAGATAGCTGTGATAGAGGATATTACATAAGAACTAATTGGCTTCTTACAGAATTTATTATTAAATATTATCGAAATACAGGCTTGAATATAGAAGAGGTTCATTATGTATCACAATTAAATAATAAAACTCAAGAACCTTTCTCTGCTACCATAATAGATAATTATAATGTTTTCCAAATATCAAACCTGAAATATTATAAGCCAAAAGAATATCTTCTGAAGCGTTATAAATTATTAACAGAAAAGAATAACATTCAACATATAACTTCATTTAAAACCTGTAGTTATTGTCTAGAAAAAAAGCATAATATTAGAGGATGCAAGCAACATAAAGCTGACTCAGTCAATAAAGAAAATAGTAACTGAACACTTAGCTGACATGATAGATCTAGTAGGTTTTTAATTGGTGGGTTTTTAGTTTAGCAGGTGTAAAATATTAGTTAGTTTAAAATTAGCAAGATTTAGAATAAATATAAATATTGTAAAGTTTTACAAATTTTACGTAAATACAAAATAAATGTAATTGAAAATTTTAAAATTCATTGATTTATTATTGGATATGAATATTAATTTACTATTAGCTAATTATGATCACGTGATACCAGTGATCATCACCAGCAGTAATAAATAGCAAACTCCTTTTTAATAAATCTAAATAAGTTTGCAAATTTTATTTAATAGATTTTATAATTGATAAAGGATAAATTGAAAATAAAATTACAACTGCTAAAAATAAGATATTATATATTATTATTAAGACTATAATTATCAACTGATCGAAAGTGATGATCAAAAAATTTATGATAAAGTACAGAAGAACTAAAATATAAATGCCTGCTAACACCTTTTTAAAATACTTTTATTATATTCTTTTCTATGTTTTTAATATAGTTTATGATAGTTTTAACTTTTATCATATCAAAAGGATTTTATATCTTTTATTATGATTTTAATATAATTTCATCTGAGTTTAAGCTATTATTAAAAGACTTTGTCTCTCATATATAAACTAGAAAGTCAAGAAAAAAAATAATTTTTTATATAATTATAACAGATGATAGTATCCATTTTTTTTTTATAGTAATATATCCACAAATTAACTTTGCAATATAATTTTTAAAAATTTGCTAGAAAATTAGAATCTTTAAGAGGATTAATTACTCAAATTATTTTTTTTTAATTACTGTATTATTTTTATTTTCATTAGAATGTTTAGTTTTAAATGAAAATATGTTTGATGAAAAAATTGGAAGGCATAATTTTTATAAAGCTTTAACGAATATATAACCTTAAAAAAGTTTAAGCATATAACTTTCATTAGCTGTACTTAATATCATTAGATATATTAAATAAGAGTATATAAATATATATAAAAAAAGAAACAAAAGAGAAACTATCTAAGCTAAACTAGTAGAAGCATTTCAATGCAAATTAAATATAAGACAAGTAAACCCATATTTTCTACTTGATTTGCTAATAGTATAAAATAAGAGAATACTTTTTTCTATATTTTTTGGTTCTTAAGTTCAAAAAGTGAATTCACTGACCAGTAGATGTATCACTTTAACTAAGGCTATTTGTGTTTATATATATTTTTTTTAAAAAAATAAAAAATAAAAAAGAAATTATAAAATAAAAGGAAGGAAGTGTAGTTCTAGACTACCTTTTAATAAGTATCAGTATTGTTATTATGTTTTACCTTCTAGCTTGTCACAAAGTTTTTACAAAATAATAATTTCGAGTTGAAGAAAAGATTAAAAGATTTTATTAGATTAAAAATTTGTGATATATACACTGGTCGAAATCAAAAAAATCAGACATGTGAAAATCAACCTAAAATCAGCCTAAATCAGCCTAAATTTGGCAAATTATCAAAAATCAGCTTAGCCGATTAGCATACATCAGAAATCAGCTAAAAATCAGCCAAAATTTGACCCATCTTATTTATAGCCAATTGGCATACTTATAGCCAATTGGTATATATCAAAATTTGACCTATCTTATTTATAATTAATTGACTTCTGATTGGAAATATAGGGCATTATCTTTCCTTAAAAATGATGGTATTATCATACCTAAGGTATAATAGTTTTATCGTTTCTAAGGAATGATATATTTATTATACCTTAAGTACAATAATTTATCATTCCTAAAGTATGATAGTATTATCATTTCTTAGAAACAATAGTTTTATCATTCTTTAAAGATGATTATTTTATCATTTCTTAGAAACAATAGTTTTATCGTTTTTTAGAGACAATTGTTTTATCATTCCTTAGGGATGATTA